CTTCTCTCCTCTCGGCGCAGACCTCTCGCTGCTCCAGGAGGACCTGCCGGAGGACGCAGACGGATGTGAGTGCCCGACCTCGCCGTCGCGGCGGGCGGGCGGGCGGGCAGCTGGCTGCTCAGAAAGGCAGGGCCCACAAAGTGCCTGGAATTCCCCTGGAGTCACTCATTAACACCCCCTCCCACCAGCTGCCAGTCACCCCAACAGACAGCAGCAGAGAGCACCCTGACTCCAGGATTCCTCCGGCAGGTAACCCCCACCATCACCTGAGCAGGTTCCCGACTGAGCAGTGAAAAATGTTTGGGGTGAAGCACCCAAGTCATAGAAGACAAGCCCCCTCCCACTCCCTCTGCTCTTGGGGCCCAGCCAACATTGCTCACGGTGTCCTGTGCCAGGTGAGGTCCTGCCCTGGCTGAAGAGGTGTCCACAGCCATAGCCGCATCCACCCCTGGACAGAGTGTGCCCATCACCACCCCCCTGACTTTAGGAGGACCAGGCTTCCTTGGCAGTATTTCAGGAAGGGCCACGACCCCCTGTGCCACTGGACCTGCAGGGCTGAGTGCCCACCCAGTGCCCTGCTCGGCATCCAGGGGCCTGGGCCAGCCCCTGTGTGCTGAGAGCAGAGGGCAGGACCCACCAGGGCCACTAGGTGCTGGGGCAATTCACTGCCACTTGGAGAGACAGTGCCAGCGCTGGTAGCTGGTGGGGTCCTGGAGGAGAGGGGATCTGACCCCCCCCACTAGCCACCTTGTCTGAGTGACCACACCTCAGTTCCTCATCAATGGAAAGACAGGAAACGTCCATCTGAGTAGAAGTCGGGCCACAGCTGCCCGGAATCCACTGCCATGGCCGCTCTGGGCCAGCAAGCAGGTGCAGGGGAAGAGTGACCGGAGGCCCCCAGAGGCCCCCAGAGCAGGCGAGCTCGGGGCTGGGCTACACCACTCACCTTTGCTCACGTCCACACTTCTTGCTTCCAAGTACCTAGCCAGCTCAGCCAGGAGCTGCCAACTGCACCTAGAAAGAGAGGGAGAGTGACACCAGCGACAGTAAACTGAGGCTCATCTTCAATTTACTACGCGAGGGCAGGGCCTCCGTGCCAGGCATCCTCCTGCGGACCCAGGCTTTTAGCAGTCGTTTCTGCGTCCCTATAGCATAAGACTGCACTCAGGCAGAAAAAGAGAAATCCATTTCCTGTGTCAGTTCCTCCATGGCAGACCGGAGAACACCTCAAAGAAATGCAGGCCACCCACCACCAGCCAGGCCTCCACGCAGAAGAGGTCAGTGGACATTAGACCGAACAGTGTTTTTTATTTTTTCTCAAGTGATAACAAAACTTATATCCACAATGGGCCGTTACTATACAATGAACCCCCTACCACTGTCCAGTTGCTCTGTTTTGGGGTGCTTTACGTTCAAAGGCTCCTCGGATGCCATTCTGAATTTTTATATGTTCTGGCGATGGGATATAACGAATTGGAAATCAGTATGTGGGGTGAGGCATGAGAAACACCCAGTTCAGGCCTGGCCCCTACCCACGACCCCCTGCATGTCCTGAGGACTGGCTGTTCGTAGCATCCATGTAACTCCCAATGATCAGTGTCTTTGCTGCTAAAATAGATATTTAATCTCTAAATCCAACCTCTGTTCAACCTCATTCAGACACCAGGAAGAGTAATGTTTCAAAAGGTGTGGAAAGAGAATAGTCTCATTCTAAGCTTCCCCATCATTAGGCTCAAAGGAATCATTCCAGATCCTTTGGTTGGCAATAAAAACAGAGAGAAAAAAGAAAAAGGGGGAAATTGATACCATCAGATTTGAAACAGAAAACTTGTAACCTTCACTCACAAGAGGAAGGATTGTTTGGGTGGCGTTTTGTTCATCGGCTGCATGGACCCAGACAGCCCTCCAGGGGGTTTGTAGGGGGCAAGAGCAGGTGCCTGGCTAGCACCCAGAGCCAGCGGATCAGGGTCCCCTGCACCCCAGGACCCGTCTCCCCTTGCTGGAGACACATGTTTGCTGCGCGAGGCCCCTGCTATCCGCCCACAGATCCACCCCGGCCCAGCCTCCAAAGCAGTCCGGGACCCTTGGAGGCAGGGAAGGACTTGGCGATTGTGGCCCCAGAAACCACCACCCTCGGGACCTAGATGACCTGCAAGTGCTCCAAGCCTCACCAAAAAGAGGCCCATAGTTCAGGAAGTGTGAGGACAGAGTGCGGGCCTTCTTGGGAAATGACCCTGTACACTGGAAAGGAAGGTGAATTCTGCCGTTAGAGTGGAGTCTCTGTCGAGGCACCAATGGGTCAAGCTTTCAATTCTGGACTCACCCAACTTCCTTCCTTTTTTTTTTTTT